TTTTTAAGAGTGGAGTGTGTCTTGTGTGTAGAAACAAGACAAACTTAATAGTTTTAGAATAATTCGCAGGTTGACATAAATACAAATTGGTACAGCAAGACATTTGGCACAGCAAGCACATATAAGTCGACGTTCAACTTATTTCGGATAAAAAGCATCAAAATGTGGCCTGGGTACAATGTAGCAGATGTTAAAACTAAGACTTTTAACCGAAACCCGATGATAATAACCACAGTGGAATGCAGGATTGAGAGTAATAATATTATCACAAAATATTGACCCATTATGACAAGACGAATGTCATAATTTAATAACATTGTCACACGAGAGTGCCTGCAGATTGTTGCGTTGAGTAGTGCTAGTGATAGAAGTCGACAAATGTGAACAATTATTTATAGAATGATAAATTTGAACCTAAAACACAGGACAGGTACACACTAGGCAGGTTTTTTTAAAACAATGGCAACTTGTATATGGGGTACAGTAATGATGTGACAACACTGGATATGATAGATAAACAGGGGCATATATCAAGTGACAAACTTTTTTTTTTTTTTTTTGGTAAGATGTCCGACATGACATTGCGCATCACAGATGTAGACAGCTTGGTTCAGGTGAACTCCTGACTCCGTGCCTACGGCGAAGAACGCTGACTGACCGGCTGTACGACGATCTGTGTACTAGTTTCTGCCTTGACGTCCTCTGAGGCGTTGCCATTGTCCGACTCTTCGTGATCGCTAAGCTCCTTATCTTGCGAGGTGTCCTTCTCGCCCAATAGCCAGTACGTTTCCATTAAACCTTTACCCTGAAATGTAAAAGCCGACGATTATTAAAGGTAGCAATCTGCACAACGTCAAGCACATTATGCATAAAGTTTACCCCATTAAATATTCCGACGGATGAGCTGTTCGATTGTGTATGATGTCCGGGTGAGTATCAATGTTGAGCTCACCTGTAATCGTTTCCTGTTCATAAGCTTTCATTAATGTCACTTTTGTTTGTCTGGCTCAAATCTTTCTTTCGGTTTTTACACCATTTTCTGATATGCTATTCAGCTGAAATGTTGCATGCTCACGCATTGTGGATGACAACACCATGTGTGGCAAAAACATTCCGGAAAAACATTTCAGGTAATTTAAGGTTTGAAAGATGTGTTTAATACAGTCTCATGTTTATCCAAGAGAATTATTTCATGATTTCCCCAAGGCAGTAGGCGAGGGTTTAAAATATGTAACTATAATGCATTGACAGAGAAAAAAAATATTTCTTTACTGTAGTTGAGTCAAGAATTGACATCACAGCACTCCGGGAATTCCCATGCATGCTCTGTCCTCATCTTCAGCAGCCAGCGCAGAGTTCCAATACTGATGGTACCGGTATTTATCACTATCTAAATCTGTGATGCGGAATGTCATGTCAGACATCTAAAAACAAAGTTTGTCACTTGATATATGCCCATGTCTATCTATCGTATCCAGTTTTGTCACATCATTACTGTATATATTTCTGTACTGTAATGGTGGAATAGAAACAAACTTGTTTCGGGTATATAGCAAAAAGTGATTACATACAGTTGATTTCAATTTAATATCACGACTATTGAACCTAACCAAAAATACCTTATACTTGATTTGAACTATCAATTATATGCTCTTATCTGTAGGCATTTGATTCAACTGTTATTTATTTTATGTAATTAAATAAATCACATCCTTAAAGATCTATACAATAATACGTAATTATAAGTATAATAATATCAAGGACTTCTCAAAGCTTCCACTAGTCCTGTTCTAAAAATGTTCGTTGCATATCGTTTACAGGATGTCACAAAGAAACGCCTACCTTTGTTGGCTGTTCTTTGTATTATGCAGTGTTAAGTTCATAACACCTCAGCCACAGTTGCCCCACTAACAATGTTCACCTACCTTAATCTCTATCTCTCCTCTCCTCTTAATGATGAAATTGCCAAAGCTTTTGAGAATATCCGCTGTGGTATTGCTCATATGTATCTTCAGCTCTGAAAACAGGGATGTAAAAGCGGGTAAGTCATGTGGCAGTCGCATTGTGTGCAAACGACAACTGAACAGGGACGAAATGTACATGTACAATCTGTAACACGGCTGAACGATTCATGCACATGATAGTGATGTCCCTGGCTGACAACGATTCATGCACATGATAGTGATGTCCCTGGCTGACAACGATTCATGCACATGATAGTGATGTCCCTGGCTGACAACGATTCATGCACATGATAGTGATGTCCCTGGCTGACAACGATTCATGCACATGTTAGTAATGTCCCTGGCTGACAACGATTCATGCACATGATAGTAATGTCCCTTACTGACTAGCGTGTCATTAAATTTGGCAATAGTCACATCAATGTCTTTTCTTTTTTTTTTTTTTTTTTTTCATACTCTCTTTTCCTACCTTCAAGCAAACTGGCTAGTTTTGCACAACTTGGTGGAATACTGATACATGATAAGGCAGACGTGGTTAGTGCCTTATGGGAGAGCGTGTACATTTCGGAGGAGCAGGTGGATCACCACAGTCTGGTGAATTGATTCAAGGGGGAGTGACGAGAGGTTCTGGCCGATGCTCGAGGCTCAGAGGAAAGGCAAGACGGACGTTTAATCAGAATGCTACTGGCATCATTAGTATCGGAACTCTTCGCTGGCTACTGAAGATGGGTACGGAGCGCTAATGCGATTGCCCTGAGTGCTGTGATGTCGGTTCTTGAATCAGATCAAATCAAATCAACCTTAACTCCGTACTCATTGTGTTGACATTTTGATTTGAATGTATACGCAGTTATATCAAGAGGTGACATCCCTGTGTGCTGTTTATGTCCATGTACCCAGTGATAGGATGAGATAAAGAGCTATCCTGCTCACTATACCATTACTATAAAACAAGGTTTCTCAGCCAGTAATTGCATGAAAGGGGTGGGGGGAAAGGGAGGGAGGGGGTAGAATTCTGCTAAGAAAAAAAAACCGACACAGTAGAGACTACTTATAAGCAGTGAATGATGGGAATTCCTCAGAGTGAATGTAAAGCCAGTTATGGCACGAAATGACCTCGTCATTCGGCAGCTAACAACTTCCTGATATCAACCTTGAGAAATGAGTTTCAAATACATTTTCTCAAGTTACAGAAGACACACAAACTACAGCACTGGGCCAGTCGAAAATACAGACGAAACTCCTGTATTCTTCACTATGCCAGTTGAAAAAAAAAAACACTGAACAAAGCTGGTTAAAAAATTTTTTAAAGGTGCACGTACGAACTTCAGAAGCTGGGGAAAAAACTGTAAGGTCAGTTACATCATTTTCACACGTAAATCTATCCCTGAGAGAATACTCCCGCCTGGAGTATTGGTGAGAATGCAAGAGAAAGGGAGGATGACTGAAGCATTGTCGTAATGTTTGTGAAACATTTTTGTACAAGTGACACGTAGGCCTCATATCTCGAATATAAGCCCCTGTGTGTGTGTGTTTTTTTTTTTTTTCATTAATTATTTTTGGTTGTTTGCATGTATTGTCGATGTATGTTATAAAATGTTGAACATTCGAATGTGTAATGATGACGCTACTGAATGTTGACTGGCGTATTTGATCTTACCAACGCCGTTACTCTCCATGCGTGAGGCGGTGTTCACTGTATCACCAAACAAACAATAGCGGGGCATCTTGAGCCCGACCACACCTGCACACACAGGACCTGCAAACAGATAAGCATTTGTTATTAGACTGTTATTATCTGATGACAGTGCCGGTCGTCATTCACATTTGTTCCTATTATGAGGCTTAGAGAAAATGCAGCAATATTCACCGAAGAGGCTTATAGAAAAGCAACAAGGATTATTACTTATTTGGAAATGTTTACGAGTGATTATGTTATGACATTCAAATTAAACTGGCTGAACTGTAAACTAATTCCAATAGAATCGGTTGGTTTTAGAAGATTGCTACCGTTTTCAAAACTGTCACTACAAAATACTTTTGGCAAGATGCTAGAGAAGATTATTGCTGTTAACCTACAAATATGTTTGGAAAGGGAAGGGAGCTCCTGCCAAAAGGTTTAGGTAGTTACCGGCCACGAAAAGATACCTGGTCTTTTTGGAAAGGTCGAAGATCTGGGAAGCTGCATGTCAGGAAATGGCACATGGGCAAATTCAGCCACTTTTGTTTTTGATGTATTTGAAGGGGTTCCCAGTGTTCTATCGCCTCCAATATAACTCACATAATGTTCCTACTTTGCTCTTTTGGCCTCAGCAGCACAGGGCTTGAAAACCTCCATGTTATTAATTTCCACAAATTAACGCAATCTCCACTTGCTCTGGTGAATGTAGAGGTGTCTGGAGCACTTTTGTTCAGCTGCTTCACTGCAGGTCTCTTTGCCTTCCACGCCTGTTCTCTGTTTCTAGGGGTACCAATTTGAACCTGTGCATTTACTGTTCATAAAGTCCCTGGATGTAAAGGCGGCCGTTGTAATAGAACCACATCACCCAAAAAGTCTCGAGTTGATTGGTCTATAAAATATGGAGCCAGTACCACAAACCCATCAGCGTCTGTGGTTTAGGCATTGCCAAAGAGATTCTAAATGCCGAAATGCCGGTTTCAATCCCAGCTGTGGACGATTTCTCTTGCGTTGATTTTGACAGGGGTACCAAGATTTGACCGTTCAGTAGCAATGGGAAACTACTGAACGTAAAATTTGTATAGGAAAAACACAAAAAAGCACACACACACAAAATGCTGGATTTGGTTCTGCAACGTCCTGTAAAAGACACGCAACTAATTTTAAAATTAAATACCCAATACTCTTGAATGTGTGGAAAAGGGTCCTTTACTTTTTTTTTCAGCTAATTAACACATTTCTGAAATTAAATATACATTTTTTAAATACCCTTTAAAACTTGTCATTTCTATTTAAAATGGACACAGTACAGGGTTTCCTATAGTAAACACATGAACGTTGCTGCATTTACAAGTGACCTGAATGTAATCCGATCCTCAGCATAAGTCTGTCTTCAGAAGTCTCTATTGGTGTAAAATTGGCGACAACGTGCAATAATGCCAAGGACATGCGAGCTATTTGAACTGCATGTTCATTTCCGTTCCTGGTAGGCAGACCAGACACAACCATGTAACCGTCGCCAATAGTTTCTACCTGCAGACAATGAAAACGTCTCTTTTATAACGGTTCTCATGCCAGAGTCAGAGTAAAGACAACCATTGACAACTGACATATTCATTACTTGAGTATTCCTTGAAGAGTTAATATGTCCAATACTATAAATGATAATTATTTTTAGGATTTCATAGGGGTGGAGGATATGAAATATATAGTGCACACAAAAAATACACTGCGCTGGGGCCAGACGGAGTCAGGTATGCACATATAAAGAGCATGAATGATGCAGACTCTAGGGAGATGGCACTTAATTTCAACCAGGGCATCGTAACAGCTTCAGTACCCCAGGATTGGGTACACAGCTACCTAATCCCTCTTCCGAAACCAGGCAAAGATCATTCCAGACTCAGCGGCTTCGGGATTATCACCCCACAAAATACTTTTGGCAAATGTTTTTGAGAAGATTATTACTGTTAAACTACAATGTTCCAGTGTGATGCTGTCAATGATAGATTTTGGACTTGGAATGCTTACCATATTTAAAAAAGTTAGCTGATGAAACATGAAGGCATACATAATAAAGCCATGCGGGTAATTTTGGAATTTACAAGAGATACCCCGGTAGTATGTATGTGATATATGCTTGCACTGCCCACCTTTGCAGAGAGACTCAATTTTCTTCAAGCAAAGTCATATCTTAGAGTAGCTGCAGACGAGCAGCACCGCCTGCATGAAACCCGGCATAGAGCTAAGGGTCACAGACTGAAAAGTGGAAAGTCTTGGATGGCACAGCCTGAAGACACAATCAGACTTGGGTGCAGGCTTGATAATTTTGTGCGAGGTGAGCAGTGGGTCAAAGTGTCCGAGAAAGTTTCAGACTTGTGCAGGGTTCTTATTACTTTGGGCCGTGACTGCAGGGACTGGCCAGCTGGCGCTGCAGAATCAGAGGTTCAACAAATGATTCATGGAAATTCCCGCCCAAATAATGTTATTATCCATACAGATGGCTCTGTGTTGAGGTGCAGATGAAGTGCCTTGGGGTTCATAGCAAAAGCATTCGCTTTTGTCCCTGACCCATGCCATAATGTGGGGATGATGATGATCTATCTTAGTAACACTGGGCTCTCTCATTGTGAGTTTGCAAATCGACAGCAGAAATAAATAATTACTTTCACGCTACTGACACATCCAGCAGATAACGGTTAACTCATATTTACAGAGCAATGAAGCCTGATGTTGACGACATCACCAACCAAGTGCCCACGGTAAACTCATATTTAGAGAGCAATGAAGTGTGATGTTAACGACATCACCAACCAAGTGCCCACGGTAAACTCATATTTACAGAGCAATAAAGCGTGACGTTGACGACATCACCAACCAAGTGCCCACGGTAAACTCATATTTAGAGAGCAATGAAGCTTGGGTTAACGACATCACCTACCGAGTGCCCATGGTAAACTCATATTTACAGAGCAATGAAGTGTGATATTAACGACATCACCTACCGAGTGCCCATGGTAAACTCATATTTACAGAGCAATGAAGTGTGATGTTAACGACATCACCTACCGAGTGCCCATGGTAAACTCATATTTACAGAGCAATGAAGTGTGATATTAACGACATCACCTACCGAGTGCCCATGGTAAACTCATATTTACAGAGCAATGAAGTGTGATGTTAACGACATCACCTACCGAGTGCCCATGGTAAACTCATATTTACAGAGCAATGAAGAGTGATGTTGACGACATCACCAACCAAGTGCCGATTGTCTATAAAACATGTGTCTAGTCCTCTATGGTCGGCGTCTGTGGCTTAGGCGTTGAGAACGCGCTTCGTAATACCTTCTTCGGGCCTTGCGCCTTGCGCTGGTTTCGACAGTGGTATCAAGAAGCTGACAGTCCAGAAAGCAATGGCAAACTACTGGACGTAAGCTTGCCTAGAAAAACCACAAACAGCCAACAAATGTTGCCGTGATTCTGTAAAGGTTAGGCAACTAACTTAACTAGTCCTCTATGCCCAATTCTCCGGAAGACATGGACAGTTTGTCTGTTACATCTTATAGAGCAAAGGTTGCAGGTGGGTTTCATAAACAAATATATCGAATCAGCCAGCATGACTTCTGGTAACATTTCTTTGTACTTATGTAAGGTGGGTCTATCTGGAGTCACCGTCAATTATAAAAACCCGCTCCGGTGTTGATTCTGTCCAAGAACTTCGGTCTGGCAGATAAGCGGCTAGTGACTACGCTACTACGTCTCTCAAGATGGAAGTCTGCTGTCTATAAGATTATTACTGATGAGGCCCCAGTCTCTTTTCCGATGCAACTTTCGTACCATTATCATAAAGCCAAGAGACCAGTCTTTTTTTTTTTTCCCTGAACTTTCCGCTGTTGAAACTGAATGTGTACTTCAAAGATTGTGAAACATAGTCACTAACTTATCAGTATCCTCCATATACATTACGAACATTTTCTCATGGGGAGAATACATTTCACATTTCCACGCTTTTATGCGTATTGCGTACCCGGTGGTACCTACATATATTTATAATCGACAGTCGAGTGAATCGGCACTTCCTGATACCCGTTTTAGGCAGGGTCGAACTAAGAGCCCACATCACTTTCGCAGAATCCGCACCTCGGAAAAGATTTAACTTATAATCACAGTGCCAACGTGTAAACGTACTAGCCACTGCGCAACAATGTTTGTTATTTTGGAAAGGACATTTCAGTTATATAATGTGTAAATGTTTCCTAGCCGGTGTCATATCCAGTCTCATAAAAGTGTTTAACCCTTTTGATTGGCTGGAATTGATTTCTCCCGGCACCCTCGCATTAGTTATTCTTTCACACCATTTTATTTATTTAAGTCCTTCTACATTTCGCAAGTGCTAGCTAATGAGTGTTTGTAGCCTAATGATAGTTGTGTATAACCCTCCCCGGTTTTTCTAATTCAGTCAGCAGTTATGATCTGACATTACAATTAGCTGTTCTAAGATTAATACTAAATTTAATTCTAATAATATCTAGAGACTTCCAATCATATGACAGCTCATTTGCTTTTTGAATGCATATTTTTATTTATATATCTTTTAAGCCATTTTTGTCAACATTGTAACATCAATCTATGGTTCCACTTTTACAAGTAAATTCTATCAACGGAGATCGACGCTCGATTTATCCTCATCATCTATTCTATCAGATGCAAGATAAGCACAATCGGTGTGACCTAGCAATGTTGGTTCTACAGACATCTTCGTGTTTAAGTTACTTACACCTGACTTGGTGTGTGGGCCAGAGGTGTATTGTCGTCAGAGTCCAGATTTATTGTCATCAGAGTCTAGATTTATTGTCATCAGAGTCCAGATTTATTCTCATCAGAGTCCAGATTGATTGTCATCAGAGTCCAGATTTATTGTCATCAGTCCAGATTTATTGTCATCAGTCCAGATCTTTGAACTGCCTTTTGTAGAATAAACCAATTTCAATTTATTTTGATAGTTTCATATCCGGGCAATAGCCTGTAAAAAGAAATTGACAAAATATACCCAGTGGCATTACTGTCTTTACTATAAATTAGATCTATTAATTTTCGCTCAAGGTTACACTAAGCATTTGATAAAGTTAAAAAAAAATTAAGAAATTATTATAATTTTGGAAACCGTAAACACTGCTGCTGAAAATCTAAGATGAACAACAACAACAACAAGTACATATTCTGGCAACAAGAACCAGATAAAAACCCGCTCCGGCGTCGAATCAAGTTGGCATTTTTCAAAACAGGGATGCGTACTATCTATCTTCTTCGTCTTCACTTCCTCTTTTAACGCTTCGGGTGTCGAGAGAAGTGTAATTCACTGTTTTTTTGCTCTTTTGACAACCTCGACCGTAGACGCATCGTGCCATTGTAGAGTTTCTTTAATGTTATCTTTTCATTTCGTTCTTGGTCTACCTCGTGATCTTCGTCCATCTCTTTCGGTGTATGCACTGAATGGTATGGCACCACAGGGAATTCTCTCTGAGCAGACAAACCAATCGATTTATTTTCTTTGTATGTAATTGTTGTGCATGCTCAAGCTACTCCTACACAGAGTAAAGCCGCATGCAGAAAAGATCACAGCAGAGAAGCAGGAGGGTTTCTGTGCTGGAAGAAGCACTATTTGATCTGCGAATATTATCAGACCACTACCATCAGCACCAGAAAAATCTGTACCATGTGTTCATTGATTTTTTTAAAAAACCGTTGATGCAGCACTCTGGAACACTAAAAAAAAAATTACAATATGGGTAAAACCTTTATCTGTAGTATAGAACAGCTGTATGCCAAGGCCAGCAGTGCTGTCACGCTAAACGTGCTAATAGGGAGCTATTTCCGAACAACACTAGGAGTCCGCCAGGGCTGCCTCCTCTCTCCAACACTGTTAAACATCTTTTTAGAAAGAAGTAAGACTGATGCCCTAGAATAACATCGTGGAACAGTTAGTACAGTAGGTCGAACTATAACAAACTTGAGGTTTGCAGATGTCATCGATGGGTTGGCCGGGAAAGAACAATTTGTTGGCATTTCATACCTAGATAAACGAAGAGGTTGCCATATAATTATACAGCACATTGGCAACTATGAACCTCTTTTAACTACAGTGAATAGGCGAAAAATGGAAGGGTATGGACATATAATAAGATCTAATGGCCTCTCAAAAACAATACTGCAGCGCTCAGTTTAGGGAAAGAGGCAGACCAAGAAAGACCTTGTTGCAGAACCTGACTGACTGGACAGGCCTCAGGCATATAACCATGAAGTCCATTGCAACTGATCGACAATGGTGGAGAGAGCTGATCAGAGAGTCAACAACAAATTGTGACCCAACGACACGTTGTTACTGGATGATGATGATGATGATGTATGTATGTATGTAATTTAGAATTAGTTCTGTAAGAAAAAAAAAACATTTTTTTTTTCAAATTTTATGACCTTATTTCACTTAGACACCCAAATAAATATCTCCCTTCCAGCCAAAACAGTAAATGA